ATCAATATGGTATATACTCACAGTGCACCAGCAACAGCATTTCCAAGAAAAAAACATAAACCAATGCTCACTCCAACCTCCGGACCCAGGGCACGACCAATAAGATAATAGGGCCCACCTCCCTGGATTAGACAGATAGTTTAAGAATAAGTTATAAAATAACTGATACTACAATTGCATCATATTCCACATCTAAAATAATCATTAAAGAAGTTTCCATAGGAGCAAGAGTAAACACCCAATGAAAGATATCAACAATACCTTCATTGCGCCATTAGTAGCTATTGCACTCAAAGATATAGTTGTAAGGAAAGTACACGAACCACAAAAAGCAACCAGCAGCAATGATTGACCAATCCCAGCCATACCCACGATCCTAAAGCAGTAAAGCACACAGAATGGGTCAGAAGATGGATTATACAAATATAAAAACACAATAAACATGAAAAGGAAAAACCGACAACAAATAAACATGAAAAAAAATGAGTGGAAGTTTATCAATCCTACTCTGGTCTCAAGAGATTAATAAGGCTTTTTAAGAAGTTGAAGCTCTAGTAGCCAAATAGCGATAGAGTTATGTTGTTAAATTTTAAGAATAATCTTGTTTGTATGCATCAATGATCATTAGCATCATGATGGGCATTCTAAGAATGCTCAGAGCAGAACATACTGAAACACAGACCTTACCATGAAAATCTGATGTAGTAAATAATCCCTAAAATGTTTTGTAGACAAGGGACAAACACACCCATCATAGTCCCCAATTTGACACTGTTGGCCTGCATGATACATAACTTGCTTCAGAGGTAACATGGCAGAGCACAGTAGTTCTATATGCATGACGTGACTTACTAAAATTTTTAGATATAATGATTGTTCCAAGCATTATTAGTGCATGAAAGAGGAAGAAACAAGAAAAAGGAAGAAAACGACAGCTAGATATCCGGGCACAAAGGAACACAGCAGTTCCATTGCTTTTCTTTGATCCTAAATCACTAGATTATAGGAATTACTTGATTATAGGTTCAACATGCATCCTAACATAAACAAATTGACAGTAAACAAATATTTTAGTTGAAAATATCTTTGTTTACCCCCCAACACACAGTACTGATAAGAAAACCAAAAACTAAAATATAGCTCACATCATTTCCCCATATATATATATCCAAATATTCTTAGTTCTTTGCATGCCCCAACCCTCGCTAATCATTTTCCACCAAAATAGCCTGAAACGTTTGGAAACGATTCTAGAAAACTAAATGGATCAAGTCATACTAGATTCAAGACAAAGATCCCTAGTTATCTGAATGTCACAAAAAGCTAGTCCAGAACCAATATAATTCAAGAATTAATGTTCTACAACACAAAACACTTCTAAAAAAATGATCCAGTGTTTTCCAGGCCGAAAAATGCCTCATCATGGTAATCTGATTACTTTTGCCCAAATACCAATCTTTTAAGAGTAATATCACTGTCATTCCATCTCAAATCCACCTTTCACATTTTTTCTCCTCAATAAGCTATCAATAAGATCAAGTTCAAACTGAAGGTGCTTCCTCATCATAGAAAAATGATAGAGAAGATGAGGAATTCAGAAAGTCCATAAAAGGACACTGTTTCCTCATTTAAGAAATTCAGAAGCAGCAAGTCCCAAGAAAAATGAAAATCTGAACTAAAAGCATGTGATGGACATTTAAACAATCACGGGCCAAATATAAGGTATCCAAAAACAGCAAAGATTAAGCAACTCTGCCCGGCATAATTCACTGGTACCTGTGGACGCTCAACTGATACATCGACTCCATCTCTAAGACTGGATGGTGCTTGAATCTGGTCACCTGCCATACTGACAAATGAACCCTCATCAAACAAATTCAGACTGTAAAAATTGAAAGTTAAATTTCAAGAATATCAATAATCAGACACAATCATCTCAAAGACGGATGTGAATGACAACACAATGATAAATGATGCTTCAGATTTTCCTCCTAGGAAATAATGTGAACAAAAATGTAACAAATAGATCACTTACACCGTACCTTTTGAGCCCCAAAATATTAACAAGCGAGTCAAAACCAAACAATTCCAACTTGGAATCATTCTGAGAGCCATTGGCAATTCCATGGTTAGGTATTCGCCCATCACTTCCCTCAGAACCGTTACTTGCTCCCACGTCCACTTTAACTTTTCTACAAGTGCAAAGGTGTCATATAAGCATAAAACATAGAAAGAAGATGCACAACAAGAAATTAATATCCAAAATCGGGTAAAGAAATGAACTTTAAGTGATCAACCGAATGCAGATATATCAGAGTAAAACACCAGAGCACACAAGTGTTGTAGACCAAGTGCAGCAACTTCCCACTCCAAGTAAAGTCCAAACCCCTAAGGGCTATACCAAAACAACAAACACAAAAACCCCATTCGCCGCAACACAGCACACAACGAAAGGCATCACGCTTCGAACACAAGAGGTGCCCACAGTAAATTAGAAACCGGGAGTTACTTGAGATCGCTGGCGCCATTCACAGAAGCTGAAGAAGATGGTTGGACACTCGGGTCAATCGATGACATCTCGAGAACGGCTCGATCATGGTCGTGAGCAAATACTGGCCTGTACTTGCGAAACCCCTGCCCGACGAAACCTCGTTTTCCTCCGACGCCTCTATCTCCGCTCCAATTTTGTCAGACGCCATTGCATTGATTTCAATCGCCGAGAACGATCTCTGAAAATTCAAACACAGGGATGGAGATGAAAATTCAAATGTTGGGTTTGGTACGAATTTTGAAAATTAAAGGCAGAAGAAAAGGAGAGTGCAAATTTCTCAAATGTTGCGCTTGTTTTGACGGAGCCAGCGCGTGGTCACCACGGGGAGTTGTTCCCGCGTCTTCGCAGAAAATATAAAGTCATTCCATGCGGTTTTCTACTTTGCGGTTGAAACACGCTTTCTCGTCATTTTAATATGTCAAATCTCTAATTTGCTTGTTACTACGTTATTAACAACTTTTAAAAAGGTACTAAATCTACTTTAATCTTTTAGGGGGGTGTATTTAATTGTGATTTATAAAGACTTTTAAAAACTTTTTAGGACTTTAGAAATCCTGGTGTATTTAATTTAGGGTTCCGTTTGGATTGAGTGATTTGAAATCTCAAAGGATTTCAAATGAAAGGATTTCAAATTTATTGGATTTCAAATTCGTTACCTTGAATTACCTTGTTTGGATTAAGGTGGATTTGTTGAAAGAATTTCAAATCTATGAATTTCAAATTCATTGTTTGGCAAACCATTTTCTCAAAATTCATTATTATTACATATTTTCAGGATAATTATATATAAAATAAAATCTCACAAATACCATACCTAGAGCTGTAAAAGAATCGAGCGTTCGCGAACAAAAACTTGTTCGTATTCGACAAATGCTCGTTCATTTATTAATCGAGCCGAGTTCGAACAAAAAATTAGGCTCATTTAATAATCGAACGAACACGAGCTCGTTCGTGAACGTTCGATTATGTTTGCGAATAATAATTTAATATAATATTTTTATATATTTATATAATATTTTGAATAAAAATCTGTAATTTAACATAATTTTATTTATTTTTTATATATTTACATAATATTTTTAATAAAAAATGTAAAATATATAAATATTTTTATTTTATTATTTTATTTTTGAGTTCGAACGAACAAATTTCGAGTTAATCAAACATATTTTAAAAGTTTATATATTAAATTATTCGAGCTCAAACTTTGACGAACAATTAAACGAACGAACTCGAACACATTTTTTGCTCGAAAAATAAACGAACGAACACGAACGATGTTTGAACATAAACGAACACGAGCTCGAACAGCCCAAGCTCGGTTCGGGTCCAGAGGGCTTATTGTGACTTTGCCGAGAGAGCGAAGATGTGGATCGATAGATAAAATATGTTTTGATTAAAAATAATTGGCTTTTTTCCATGGATTGGCCATTTTGTGTGATGCTGAAGTTGCTGTTATTATCTTCTCCAGTAAAGGCAAACTCTATGAGTTCTGCAGCTCCTCTAGGTATATAATGTCTTCTTTTTTTTATTATTATTAATTTATTATTTAAATTGATTTTTATTTTTATTTTTTATCATACAATGTTTATTTTATTTAGTTATTCAAGAATATATATAAATCTTTGAAGAAAAGAAATAGAAAAACAAAATGGAACAAAAATCCTTAGGAAAATAATATTATTAGATTTTGTGAAAATAATACAATAATTCTTGCTTTTGTGAATATATATATATATTTAATATATTTGTGTAAAATTAATTTTGTTTTTCTTGAAATTATTATATTACAAGAGGAAAAAAGGGTGCATTAATTGATGGCCTAAACAGTATTAGGGTTTTGTGGTGGATTCATGGTGACAAATTTACAAGGTTTAATTAACTGATAATGGAGATTGAGATATTGATAACTAATATTTACATAAATTTATACCATAAAAAAATTAAATATCTTTAATTACCATGTATTCTAATTAATTTCAGTTAAATTAGTATTATGTATCAAAATATCTTCACCATGTATTTCCACACCAATATTTTTTCTAATATAAAAAATATAGGTATTTTTATTTCTCTTTATTAATTAATTCCCTGTGTCACATGTATTTTCAGTAAAGATAATAATAAAGCTCTTCACCATATTATCCGCTGGTTATTGCATAAGTTTTGTGTATTTTGTTCTCAGAGGGCTTATTGTGACTTTGCCGAGAATTGAAATGACTCCTTTTTTTGAGTAATTTAAAATCTTTGAAATGCTGAGTAAAAATAACTGGGCTTTTGCCATGGATTTCAAATCATTAATTTTTTATTGTTATCCAAACAAGCCCAAGAATTTGAGCCTAAGAATTTGAAATTCACATGTCCAAATCACTCAATCCAAACGGAGCCTAGAGGTATTCAATTAGGATTTTAAAAAGTCTTACGAAATCCAGGTGTATTTAACTAATTTAAGGTTAGGATTTATAAGGACTTTTTAAGATTTGCTGGGATTTCTAAAGAAAAAAACATGTAGGAAATCCCACTACAAATCCCACCTTTAGACTTGGTATTTTATAGGATTCTTTTAAAATCTGAAAATCCTCAAAAATCTTAAATCTTAAAAAGTCTTTAAATGTCACTCGAATTCCGAAACGAATACACCCCCCTTAATCAAATACTCGTTACTTTTGTGTACGGATTGAGTAGCTTTACAAGTGCATGAGTCAAAGCTCGAGTCGAGTTCGAGTTTGATCGAGCATGAGTCAAGCTCAACCACCTCGAATTTGACCAAGTTCGACCGAGCATGAGTCAAACTCACTCACATCAAATTTGAACCACCCGAGTGTAAGTATAACTTTACCAAATACATCAACTCATGCAAAATTCAAGCCAAACTCAGGGGAAAAAAAAAATCTTCATTAAATTTTCGAGCAAAACTCAAGCTAATGAATTTGAGTCGGTCTCGAGCCGGTCTAAGGTATTATATATTTTTTACAAGTCGGGCTTGAGTAGCAGCAAAAAAATCGAGCTCTGCTCGATAAGGAGAATGCTCGAGGCTTGTTTGCAACCCTATGGGATAAAGATACTAGAATAAATAAGTAAATAACTAGACAAAGAAAAGAGCACCACATGTAACCACAAGTTGACAAAGAAGTTATAAACAGCAACAGAGCAAAGCATAAGCCGAAAACTCTGATACCCAACCCAGCTCTCCTCAGCAATGATAATGCAAGTTGGCCATTGCATTTTTCATTATAACACCACCTATAAAAGCTCAATCATGCTGCAAATTCACCAACAGGTTTTATGAGATTGATTAGTTATTAGTCGATCACAACAGAATACCAACCTGAACACAAGAAAATTGACACAATCATAATTCCATACTTCCAAACGAATTCACATACTGGTCGAACTTTTCATCCAAAAGTTGTTAAAGAGTATTTTACACAAGATTCAACCTATTCATGTAAAGTACCAACGAAGCAAACGTGCAGATTCTAGAGCAACAATTTATGCATTCGGTAGACTTTCTTCGGCTTCAGACTCCTCTTTTACTTCAGGTTGTGGTGTGGATTGTGGTTCTTCAGCTTCACACTCCTTTTCTTCCGATTGTGGGGCAAATGGCTGTTCATCTTCATCAGCATCACACATTTTCTCTTCACTCTGTGGTCCCCAAAGAGCTTCTTCGGTCACCACTTCTTCAGTTTGCGGTTCAGAAGCTTCTGCCCCCATTTCATCAATTCGCTTTGTTTTTCGGTTTCCACACAATTCAATCAGCTCTTTAGCATTCGCCTCGAGGCCCGTCAACTTATTTTTGAAAAAATCAACCTTCTCAGCATACTCTCTAAACCGGCCCTCCCAATCCTCCTCGACTTCCTTCATCTTCTGCTCCACGATAAAGCAATTCATCCTAAACTCCTCCTCTTGTTTCTTCCGGATCTTCTCTATTTCCCCAGCCGTCAGCATAAGCCCCCCGGGCCCCACATCCTTGTAAGTCGGTTCTTCCGGAAGCTGCGCCTTTTCCCTATATTCAGCAAACGCCCTCTGAGTTTCCTTCAAAGCCTTCCTGTAACCGTCCAGCACGGTCTCCATCAGATAAAGCTCCCGTTCGAGCCGGTAAATCTCGCCATCTTTCTTCTGCAACTCCTCGAATCGGGTCTTGTGCAGGTGTTCGATAATCGAGTCGCGTTTTTGCAGCTCGGAGAGAATAATCTGCTGGTTCATGTTCGCATACTCTAATTCGCGTGCCTTCTGCTCGTACAGCATTTTGGCTGTCTCGGCCACATGCTGAATCTGCTCCATGCACGACCCGAAATCCATGTGCTTGTTGTTGTGGTCCCACGAATTGCTTATCCTTAATTTTTTGTTCGGCTCGTTAGGATTATCCATGAGATGGGTTTCGTTATGCTCGAGCACCCTCTTGCCCGTATTGTTGAACAAGCTCATATCATCCATTGAAGAAGATTGCCTACCAAGCTGATCTTGTGGGTTGAAGGCCATTTGGTTTACTTCCATTGATTGAAGGTAATTACCAGTATACCCTTCCTTGTTGAGAGAATCATGGTGGCTCGGGGAAAGACCAAATTTGTTCTCGTTTTCGTCCCCATCTTCCTCCTCCTCCTCCGCCACCTCATCCTCTTCAATCTGTACTTCTTCTTCTTCTTCCTCCTTTTTTTCATCAAATCTCCCAAATTCCTCATTATGTTTTGCAGCACAACGCCTCATAAAAAGCTTTCCAAACTCGTTTGTCCCATTAAAAAGCCACTGTCCTTGCTCGTCCCCATCCTCCGCCACCTCATCATCACCATCACGATCCTCGCAATTTTCATCCACCATCTCGACATCTTTTACAACTTCTTCTTTCTCACCATCCTGTCCGAGCGAAAGTACCGTGCTGGGTCCTTCCACTGGAAAATCCTTTTCCTCAAGATTGTTAGTTTGTTCACCAACAACATTCACATCAACATCAACCCCTTCTTTAATAACTCCATGATCTTCTTCCTTATCATTTTCGGAATCAGGTTTCACTGCAGAAAACAAATGTTCACGCTG